TAATTAGATCCATTTATAATTAATTGAATTTTTTTTTATGGCAGTTAAGATAATGTTTGATAATGTGTCTTTTAATTGCCATGTTATAATTCTTTTATTTCTAAATTGTTTAAATAGTAACAACCTACTATTATAGTATTGATTTAATATAAAACAAAGAGTTAAGCATTATTCTTATATAGCATATATTGGTTCAACGTAATCAATTTATTAATTTTCCCATCTGTAGACAATTATATTTTGATCATTGGTAATCAAAGCAAAGTTTGTTCCATTTTAGGATATTGAATGGTAAGCTAAATATAATAATAATAAATAATCTAATATCATTTGGCAAATGAAGTCTCTTTAGAAATATCAATTAATTTTAGAAAAGCCAATTTTGGTTGATATTATTAAGAATTACCTTCCCAAAATCCTTTTATTGGCTCCTATGTAATCTCCCCTTAATTGGGATAAATACTAATCTGTTCAATTTCTCCTTAATTTTTTTATGGTCACTTATTGAAATATTTGAAATATGAAAAATTAAATAATTTTTATTTTAATAATTAAAAGAAAATATAGTTCAAGATTATAACTAAAAATATTATTGTTCAATAAATTTTGAAATATTTTTAATTAGGAATAGATCTCAAAGCCTTGATTAAAGTTTGGTATTGATTAATCATAGCTCATAATTAATTAACCAAAAAATATAAGTTTATATTAAGATTCATTTAATATCTGTTAACCCAAAAGATACTCATATTTAAATTAAATAGAAACAAACTACATATTGAGAAACTATGAAAATACTTTAATAAAATATCTTTCCAACATTGAAAAACTATTTCAAATATAGAATTTTCTAATTTAAAAAATATGTAAAAATTCTAGCATTGTTTTCAGAAAATCAAGATAATTAGACAAAAAGAAAATTTAAATGGTTTTAATAAGATTGCCAAATATTATTTTTCTCCTTGTCATATCATCAAATATAGATTTCAAATTAAAAATCTTTGTTTCAATATTTAACTAGCTATGTAGCCTAGCACTCCATTTTTAGAATATCATTAATAATATTTATGCTATATAATATTAAGTCTTTTACATTAAAAAGTTATTTTTATTATCTTTTACTTATAGTATTATCTAAAATGGACTAGGGTTAATTAATGAAAATAAGTAAATAACAATCAAATTGCATCTGTTTGATTATTTAAGTTTAAATTATTATTAGGAATCAATTATTCTTTTTGAACCATACACAAAATGAACAGAAGTTTCTTATTTTTAAATAGATATTAAATAGTTGAAGAGAATAACAGCCCATAAAATTGTAAATAAAATGATAATGAATTGACTCTCTTTAATGAATAAGACATTTCTTCTAATTAATATCCATAGAATATCTCACTTCTTTTGTATCCAATTAGAATTAGCTTCCTAGGGTAAAATAACATGAGAAGATTCCAGAACATGAAATTTTTGGTGTGAGTATATTCACAGAGCTTGAAGTATCCAATATAACGACTAAAATAAGCTGTCGAGAATCTGTCTTGGAACGGTCACCTTAATCCATCTTTAATCCTAAATCAAATTTACTCCGAGAAGACAGACTTGCTTCTCCTGCTTAAATCTGTCCTTAGTAAAGCTGTACATCTGTCAGAGCATATGCTCTGTTCAATAAGATTTTATTAATATCTAACTCTCATAACTTTTATGAGCAACTATAATTAATTTTACGTGTAAAGCCATTTTATAAATATTACTAATATATTAGATAAGACATAATTACTCTTTAGCTACAAATGAAACGTTGCTTATTTACAAATTTTATACAAATTTATTTTCAAAAGAAAAAAAATTAAGAAAAAAAAATCATAAATTTATAAAAAGAATATTTTCGTATATACAATTAATTGATATAGTATTTCTTCCAGATACTCAAAATTCGATTGAATTAAATTATTGTTAATATAATTTTTGAGGACTTTCTTATTTAATTTTTATTTTTACAAATAGAAATATATTCTTTTGACTATATTTTAGAAGGACTTAATTATTTTACAATTCGAAATTACATAAATGTTTTTAAATCTTTAAAAGAATTGGCATGAAAAAAATGAAATTTACATATTTTGCCATTTTTAATTTTAATGTATTCAGTCCAATCATATTACAATAATAAAAATACTTAATCTTGTTATTAAAACTAGCTAGATTATTGCTTTTAAATATCAAAAATGGAGTAAGTTTATATTTTTTCTTAACTTCAGAAGTGATCTTTTATTAGATTACATCTTTGAAATTGTAAGCATGATTTGTTTAATTGATAATAGGAGTAGTAAAGATTCTTATTGATTAATATTAAAATAAATTTGAAGTATCGTCCTTCAGATTAAAAGATATTAAAAGTGTCAATAATAGANATTAATTTCCTAGGGTAAAATAACATGAGAAGATTCCAGAACATGAAATTTTTGGTGTGAGTATATTCACAGAGCTTGAAGTATCCAATATAACGACTGAAATAAGCTGTCAAGAATCTGTCCTGGAACGGTCACCTTAATCCATCTTTAATCCTAAATCAAATTTTCTCCAAGAAGACAGACTTGCTTCTCCTGCTTAAATCTGTCCTTAGTAAAGCTGTACATCTGTCAGAGCATATGCTCTGTTCAATAAGATTTTATTAATATCTAACTCTCATAACTTTTATGAGCAACTATAATTAATTTTACGTGTAAAGCCATTTTATAAATATTACTAATATATTAGTTAAGACATAATTACTCTTTAGCTACAAATGAAACGTTGCTTATTTACAAATTTTATACAAATTTATTTTCAAAAGAAAAAAAATTAAGAAAAAAAAATCATAAATTTATAAAAAGAATATTTTCGTATATACAATTAATTGATATAGTATTTCTTCCAGATACTCAAAATTCGATTGAATTAAATTATTGTTAATATAATTTTTGAGGACTTTCTTATTTAATTTTTATTTTTACAAATAGAAATATATTCTTTTGACTATATTTTAGAAGGACTTAATTATTTTACAATTCGAAATTACATAAATTTTTTTAAATCTTTATAAGAATCGGCATGAAAAAAATGAAATTTACATATTTTGCCATTTTTAATTTTAATGTATTCTGTCCAATCATATTACAATTATAAAAATACTTAATCTTTTTATTAAAACTAGCTAGATTATTGCTTTTTATTATCAAAAATGGAGTTAGTTTATATTTTTTCTTAACTTTAGAAGTGATCTTTTATTAGATTACATCTTTGAATTTGTAAACATGATTTGTATAATTGATAATAGAAGTAGTATAGATTCTTATTGATTAATATTAAAATAAATTTGAATTATTATCCTTCAGATTAAAAGATATTAAAAGTGTCAATAATAGATGTGTACTAGTAAAAATTTCTTACACATTCTAGGAATTCCAAATTTTTCTTTTAAGAAAATAAAGCATATTTTTATTCATTATACATATAACATATTACATCCATTTTTAATCAAGCAATCTGTCTAATTTAAATCTTAAAAACTTTTACCAATGCAAAACAAAGATTAACTCTGGTGAGTTTTTTCTATATTCAAATCTTCACTTAACTAACTGAAATTCTAAAACATTCGCTAATTTATTTGTTTTCGAGAATGATTCACAAATAATATATATAACATAAAATTGAAACGGTTATCTGAAGTATCCTAAGAATATTGTTTTATTATATTTTGGAAAATGAATGACTTTGATTTTTCATGAGGGTTTTTGGAGGATATAGATTAAATCTTATTTAAAAACTAAACTAATTGGGTATATGAAAAAAAAAAGAAATGAATGAAGAAGTCTTGATTGAAAAATTAATAGTAATACAGACTCCTACTGTAAATCTTTTAATGCCTCATCAAGTGGTTCAAATTTCTATAGGTTCAAATATTAAATTATTAATAGATACATGTTAAATTAATCTAAATATTCTTTTTCACAATTATTACAGTGTTATAAAAATGAAATAAAATTCTTCAGTACAATAAAAAATATTTTAATATATAGATTTAAAAATATTATTTTAAATAAGTATCATTAATTATTAATCCAAATTTTATTTTGCATTTTTATACTAAATTATATTGTTAATATATAGCTTATAGTTTTTCATAAAAATATATATATGACCAATATTCTTCATTTAACTATTTAATATAGATTTTTTAAGAAATGGATATAAAAAATGTTTATAAATATTATCTTAATTGTTATTTTTGATGGTAACTTTATTGATTATCCAAAATCAATAAAATTTGTGATGAAGAATGAAATTTTCTAATTTCAAATAATTCTAATGCATATTTTTCTTCAGCTTGTGAATCATAAGCCTAAATTTTTTTTGATTTTCCCTCGTATTAATACTAGATTTTTAATCTTTTTCTACTTTTATATTCTTTAATAACAGATAAGTACATTTGTTATTAATAGTAATTAAGGATGGAATAAAATAAAACAACATGCCATTATTTCAAATGAATAAACTTTGTGAGTTGAGTCATCTAAATAACAGAAATCATTTTTTTCGAATATATTCTATATAACACTTTATTCTTGTTATTTATACTGAATCAAGTAATTTATCAATAAATCTTTACCTGGCAGAGAATATTCTAGTAGAAAAACTATTAATATAGAGTGCACAAGGTTTAGGTGTAAAATACAAATAAAAAATAGCATTATATTAATCAATTTTAATTTTGGAGAGTAACTCTGCAAGATATTTAAAAAATATAGAGATATTATTTAGAAATTTATCTGTTGAAGTAATGTATAATTTTAAAAACAAAATTATCATCAAACTTCAATAATAACTAATAAAAATTCTATTAATTAATCTAAAACAATACAAAATTCCAAAATAAAAGCTATAAAAGTGATTGAATATTTTTATTTATCAATTCCTTATAATCTATACCCCAAAAATGATTCATAATATGTGAAAATTCATTTAGTTTTAATTAGTTATACTTTCTTCTAAATGTTTCAATATTAATTTACTTACTTAAATAGCCCATCTCCGTTCAGTTAAATTCTAATTTCTTTATCAGTCAATCTATTAATCAATTTTGGAATGCTTTTATCTAAGCTTAGGCATTCTAAATGAAATACCTCTTAATTAATTCTCTAAAATATAATTTGAAAATTACAATATTTTTAGTTACCTCTCTTATGTCATCCCTGTTAATTTGTTGAACTTCCTTCATGGTCTATTTTGTTTATCTTCTTCCGTTAATTCTGTTTGGATTGTTTTATGTATTTCTAAACATAAGTGTATGATTTATTTATAGTCTGTGATGTACTCTTATCCCTTGAATAGGAATTTGTTTATACCACCTTCTTGAGTTGAATGAATTTGTGAAATCTTTTTGCTAGATCATTCCATATAAAGAATTTTTTCTTAAACTCCTCTTCCCATTTAACAAATTTTGGGTGTCTGAATTCAAGAGGAGCTTTCTGCTCTGGAAGTTCGGAGGTAGCTTTGAGCAGGCAGATGATTCTATATTCTTGGTATTATTGTTTTAGTTTCCATTTCTTCCCCTAATAGTCCCATTCACAAAAATTTTCTCTAGTTTTGTGAGCATATAGGACCTAATATTGCATAGAGTCATATCTCTTCACATCTAATTCAAGTTTTAAAGACTTTTGGTCAGAGATAAGGTTGTTGTTTGAGTTGTAATAAAATCTGTTTTTTGTTCATCTTGTCTTCTAGTTCTGATTTACCTTGAGACTCCTATCACTAGTTACTTATGTGGCTTTTTATTTTTGAGAATGATTCTCTTTGAGAAAAGAGGTAAGATTATTAGTATTCCAGTTAGTTCACAACAATTATGCATCTTATCCTGAGAAGCTGGTTTCAGCGAGGTTGGGGACAGTTTTCCACGTTAAGAATCCTTAAATTCTACTCTAGTCTTTCATTATTGCTGAATACCCTATAGTCATCAATCGCCTTATGTTACTAAAAGATAGAATTGATAGAAGGGATAGGAAAAGGTAGCTTCTCGGATTACTCCAAATATGACATCATCATAAGATAAAATAATTTTTGATGTAGAGTTTTTTTTTAGGAAAGATTACTTTTATAATTATAAATTAACGCAAAANTATTTATACTGAATCAAGTAATTTATCAATAAATCTTTACCTGGTAGAGAATATTCTAGTAGAAAAACTATTAATGAAGAGTGAGCAAGGTTTAGGTGTAAAATACAAATAAAAAATAGCATTATATTAATCAATTTTAATTTTGGAGAGTAACTCTGCAAGATATTTAAAAAATATGATATAATTTAGAAATTTATCTGTTGAAGTAATGAATAATTTAAAAAGAAAATTATCATCAAACTTCAATAATAACTAATAAAATTAGATAAATTAATCTAAAACAATACAAAATTCCAAAATAAAAGCTATAAATGTGATTGAATATTTTTATTTATCCATTCCTTATAATCTATATCCCAAAAATGATCCATAATATGTGAAAATTCATTTAGTATTAATTAGTTATACTTTCTTCTAAATGTTTCAATTTTAATTTACTTACTTAAATAGCCCATCTCCGTTCAGTAAAATTCCAATTTCTTTATCAGTCAATCTATTAATCAATTTTGGAATGCTTTTATCTAAGCTTAGCCATTCTAAATGAAATTCCTCTTAGTTAATTCTCTTAAAATATAATTTGAAAATTACAATATATTTAGTTTCTTCAACTCTTACGTCATCCCTGTTCATTTGTTGAACTTCTTTTATGGTCTATTTTGTTTATCTTCTTCCGTTAATTCTGTTTGAATTGTTTTATGTATTTCTAAACATAAGTGTATGATTTATTTATAGTCTGTGATGTACCCTTATCCCTTGAATAGGATTTTGTTTATACCACCTCTTGGTCCTTTTTAACTTAGGAGGTGTGTTGAATGAATTTGTGAAATCTTTTTTGCTAGATCATTCCATATAAAGAATTCTTTGTTAAACTCATCTTCCCATTTAACAAATTTTGGGTGTCTGAATTCAAGAGGAGCTTTCTGCTCTGGAAGTTCGGAGGTAGCTTTGAGCAGGCAAATGATTCTATATTCTTGGCATTATTCTTTTAGTTTCCATTTCTTCCCTTAATAGTCCCATTCACAAAAATTGTCTCTAGTTTTGTGAGCATATAGGACCTAATATTGCATAGAGTCATATCTCTTCACATCTAATTCAAGTTTTAAAGACTTGTGGTCAGAGATAAGGTTGTTGTTTGAGTTGTAAATAAATCTGTTTTAGGTTCATTTTGTCTTCTAGTTCTGATTTACCTTGAGACTCCTATGACTAGTTACTTATGTGGCTTTTTATTTTTGAGAATAATTCTCTTTGAGAAAAGAGGTAAGATTATTAGTATTCCAGTTAGTTAACAACAACTATGCATCTTATCCTGAGAACTTGGTTTCAGCGAGGTTGGGGAGAGTTTTCCATGAGAATCCTTAAATTGTACTCTAGTCTTTCTTTATTGCTGAATACCCGATTATCATCAATCGCCTTATGTTACTAAAAGATAGAATTGATAGAAGGGATAGGAAAAGGTAGCTTCTCGATTATTACATCATCATAAGATAAAATAATTTTTGATGTAGAGTTTGTTTTAGGAATGATTACTTTTATAATTATTAATTAACGCAAAAAAAAACTTCATGTTTACTAATTACTATTTTACTAAGATTTGATTAATTATGTCTACTTACTGAAATCATAAAGAAGTTAAATTTCTTCTAAAATAGTTTTTTTATTAGAAAGGGAAAGGAAAGAAAATAGGTAGCATAAAAGACCTTTATAATAAGAATTTTTTAATTTATGCATTCAGAATAATAAATTAATAAATAAGTTTTAAGAATTTTATAAGTTCTTTTTTCGAATAATAATTAAGATATACTTTAATTGCGTTGATACTATAATTGCTACAAAATATTGTATAAAAGGTGAAATTTAGAAAACCTGGGGAATGGATCTGTAAAGCAATCAAGGTTAGATATTGTTGAATCCTAAAAAAAAGCATTAAAAAAATAAAAATCATTGTATATTTTTGTATTAAAATAAAACTACATAACTCATTTTTAAAAGACAAAGATGATGAGACATTTTCTTTCACAACCAATTCAATAGTTTGTATGTTATTACGATGGTTTTATTTTTCCTAAATATATTAAGTATAAATAAGAGAGTTTTAAAAAGGATATATCAAAAGTATAAACCAGTTAACTTAAAATCTAATGTGATTTATATAAATAGATTTTAGAAGGAGGATTTGATTATGATGAAAACGGATAATAAATAAGTATTTGTCGAGAAGTACAAGATTATAGGTTGTTAATAATCATCCATTATATTTTTAATTTCTGATCAAGGATTTCAAAAAAAATTTTATAATACTTTCTTTGAATATTAAAATTAATTTTAATATTCAAAGAAAGTATTATAAAATTAGATTATTTTATTTTAGATTATGAGATCATTTTAATTAGAGAGGTTTAAAGTTGAAGTAATTAATTTAAATTATTCTTGATCCTTTCGAAAAGTATTTTAAATTTTAGTTAAACCTGGGATTAAATATTATTGGAATTGGAATCTGAGTTTCTTACTAAATATTGATTTCTTATATTAAAAAAAAAAATTTGTGTCCCAATTTATATTCAGAACCATTTAAGGTCAATTTGATATTTTTAATTTTAGTAAAAATAAGGGAGGCTTAGTAATTAGATTTAATAACTTAAGTTCTTTTATTTGAAGATTAAATATATAAAAACAAATATATTCATTACCTACCTGAATTTGAATTAAAGGATGTATCTATAATTTTATACATTTTATATAAAGAATTTAGAAATAATTAAGAAACTATTTTAAAGCGAAGAGAAACTTAATTTTGATGGAATATGTATCTGAAATTATTTTATTATCCTAAATTTCAGAAGTTAAGTTACATTTCTATCTAATATAAATCTTGATATTATATTAACAAAACTATTTAATTAATCAATCTTAGTTGGAAATATTTAATTTTTAAATGTAACTTATATATTATTTATAAATTATTATGCTAATAATTCAATTGGCTTTAATATATATTTTTTATAAATATTAATAGTCAGCAAAATTCAATAGTCTTCAGAACTACTTTACTATTAGATTACTAATTATTCTCCCAAATACCAATATACTCAATATCCAAATTATATTTATAAAATTAAATTCGTTGATATTTAAATATGGTGTTGATAGATTTTGTGTTATAATTTCTTTAAATATATTCATTAGATATAATAGCGTCACAATATTTGATTATGTTTGATAACTTAAAAGTTTAAGTTTTATAATGAAGGTAGTTTATGAGAGTCTAGAGTTATATTTTGGCATTAATTTAAATAAGTTTTTATTTAACGATAACAGTTTTAAGATCAATAATATTTGAATATCACGAATCTATATTCATAATATACTCATAAATAAATATAAAATTTGCATGATATAAGTGGCAATAGCTAATTTTGTTTTTAATATACTAAAAACCTTAACTTAATAAGTTAACGGGATATAATTATTGTATTTAGATATTATCATTAACATATGATAATATGAATATAGGTCTTAATATTAATATTTAGATATAAGTCCCTTGAAAACAAAAATATGTATCCTAATATACTTTGGGTTAAACATGATGAATCTGATTTAACATTAGATTAATATTAGAAGATTTTCATATACCTGGTAAGTAGACCTTGAATTTTACTATAAAAATAAATCTTAATTTTATTTTTAAGTATTATCATTTTCAAAGACATAACATTTCATAAAAAACATTCTATCCTGAGTATACTAATAGAGATTGATAAGTTATTTCTCACTGGATTATATATGAAATTATAGAAGAAGAAGAAATAGGCCAAATTACTTAAGATATTATTTGAATACAAAATCCGCTTATAAGTATTGCCAATTTGAAATCGATATTTATATTTATATGAATGGATTTATTAATCACTTGAATAAATTATTATAACTCATTATAGGATTTTATTAACTAGATATTTAAATATCATATCAAATTAATTTAGATAATCTTCTCCACCAGATTATCTTAAATGCCAAAGAAATCTCTTTAATTGATTTTCTATAAATTATAATGAATACTTATTTAAAGGTAGATGTTGCCTCTAATTTCTATTATGAAAACCCTTGGTAAAGAATTTTAACTAATTTATAATTTAATAATTCCAAGTTGTTTATAGGAATTTATTTAGATTAATTAAGGAATTAATAATAATGGCACTTTACAGAGTTTTTTGATTATGATGTCAAGATTTCTCTAAAACTTATTGAAAATTTATATATAAGTATTCAAAATCATTCAGAATTTTGAAAGAATATTTTACATTAAATTTTAAAGTTTATGCTCAATAAAATGTTTAATAAATTCATAATAATTGGGAAAAATTAAATAAATTTGCTTTAAAGTCTTAAATAATTTTGCAATAGATTTATAGTATTATATTTGCTCAATAAAAAAAAAGTAAATTTCATCAATTCGTAATTTCATAGAAGCCAAAGATGAAATTTCAAAAGAATAATATTATTGAAGTTATTTGATTATGAATTTACAGAATCTCTGAAATCTTTGAATGAACTTAACAAAATCTTCAATCAAATTTAATAATAATAATCTCTAAGTAATAATCATGTTGTCTACTAGTGTATGGATGGAAATAAGAATAATAATTTATGTGTTCAATTTTTACTGACTGTTAGCTCAACAAATTGATTCTAGAGGCTAATGCTCGCTTCGTTTGAACAATGATGGCCTAAGGCATTTTCACTAGCATAATTCGCTTTGGCCAAATGGATAGATACAGAAACAATACCTAAAGTTTTAACAATATTCTCCCTTGTTAGGGTCCAAGGAGAACATAAACTTACAGAAATTAAAACCAAACACTTACATGTCCGCCTCATCATATGAATAATAAATCCAAGTTCTTTCAACTGTTATATATGCAAACATAAAAAACTTAAGTTTATAGGTGAGATTATCTATTCTCTAAATAGATTTTTCTTATTACTATTTGTTATTTAAGTTACTTAACAATCAGTCATAAAAATAACATTTAAACTTTTTCAAATATGAATACTTTAAGATTCTTATGATTTGTTTATTTATATTTATTAATCATATAAATCTTAGAATATTGTTGTATTTATGTTTAAACTCCTAAACGAAAATGCCTTTAGTTTTTTGTGAGTTTTCTGTTCATCTAATTTACTATTTACTATTTTGAGCTCATTCTAAGACCTATTCTTATCTTTATATAATTTAATTAAATGCATTTATTTTCTTCATTATTCAAAAATCTTGATATTCTTTAATTTTTATTCATGCTGAAATAGCAACAAATAATACTTCCTTTATTATTTATATTACTGAAAATAATTTATTGTAAAAATAATTCTTAAATGAAAAAATTAAATGAATTATTTAATTTTTCGTTTAAGTTTTCACAACTTCAAGAATGTATGATGAAACTTTAATCTTTAAAACATTAAATAATTTCACCATTTATTATCAGAAATCAAAAATATCATATACTTCAAATTCATTAATTATTTTTATTGTTCTTATTTTCTTAGAGTTTAATTTTAGAATTTAGAAGTGCAAAAGATTCTTACTAATCATAACAACAAAAAATAGAACCTTAAAATTGCAATTTACATTGTAAATTTTTATGACTCCAAATATGGAGCAAAGCAACTCAGTTAAATAAATTAATTTATTATAGGATAAAAAATTATGAGGAGGTTAAAATATTATCATTAAAAAGATAATTGTAACTCTTTTTTATTATTCCTAAATGCTTGAAAGTATAAATAAATATTTATCATCATTAAATTTTCTATTACACAAAGAATATCTATGTTTAATATGATTCAAAAAATCCTATCATAATAATTATTTACAGATATTATCTAATATAACATACAATCCTCTGATCATACTTTAATTTTTTTCTTTAATGTTTAAAGATTCAAAATATCGCAGATCAGTAAAATAATGGCATAAATTTGCCAAAAAATAAATAAAATCATTAAATTACTAAATTCTTTCCTCCAACATAAATCAAAAATCAAGTAATATTTCAATTCAAAATTCATCTTTAATTCTTATAAAAATGTTGGCAACTTCCATTAATTATATGAAAGAATTTTTAGATTTATTGAAGTAATTTAGTTTGATTAACTAAAATTTCTTTGAAAACACACTAAAAAACTTATTAAAGTTCTTCTAGAAATCTGAATTAATCTTGAACACTTATTATTGTAAGTTAAATTAAAACATCATCATATCTTCAAGATTTATGATTCATTTCACTTTTATCTATTATTTTCATAAATAAGATACTTGAGTCAAGGAATTTTTTCAAAAAAATTATATGAATTTAATTCATTTGATGCTATGGTGATGAAAAAATAATAATAATTAATTTATACCAAAGATTAAAAAGAGAATTTATATATAATGCTGTTGTTATATATTTACAACAATTTTTAATTAAGAAAAAGATTATCTTTTTTAATAATGACACATCTGTATTTAAAGAATTGATCTTCAGAAATCTAAAAAAGGGAGGTAAGTATTCATTTAAATTTATAAATAATTTAAGATTTTGATGTCTATTTTATTCTATATTTATATTGTTCATTAAACAATGCATAATGAGCTTTTATCTGCTACTTTAACTTTATTTTCATTTTCATCCCCTTTTTATTATATCTATTTATTTACAGATAACTCATGTTATTCTTTGATTGCTTAGATTATTATCTACCTCAACACTACTTTTTTGCTAAATATTTCATTTATTATCATATCACTATTTGCTTCCAAATAATTTAAAATAATCAATGCATCTTCAGTACCTGCTGCCCAATATATATTATCTCTGAATTATTTATCTTCATCTTTCAACAATTAATCTGCAAACATCCTAAATCTTGATTTTGGTTTATTAATCAAATTAGCTTATTAATTTCTACTTAATTCTAAGCTTGCAATTTGTATTTCTATTTATAATTGGCCTGGAACTATAGAACTACATTTTAAAATATTATTTAGTTTTCTTAATCTGGTAGTAAATTTATGCTCTTTATGATATTCAAATCCAAAATCGAGAGCAGCA